CTCTTGAAACCTGGAGAAAATGATGATAGGACCTCAGTCAATTTTAGCGACGTAATGGTGACAGATCCGAGGAGTGCGCTGAATATTTTAACCGACAATTTGTCGAGCACCCCGAGTCATCCAAAGCGTTGGGCCCAGACGAAATCTCAATGGAAATGCTGAAACAGCGGGATACGCCGGGAGTCGAGGACCTGACGAAAGCTACTGAAGCCAGGCAAGGATGCCAAAGGCAAACGGTACAGGCCGATTTCGCCTTTGTCGCCTGTAGCTAAGACTCTCCCAGCATTAGAGGAAGCTATCCAGTTGCCAACCAGCAACACGGATTCCGTTCACACAACAGCATTACACGCCATTTCCACACATATTAGTAGAGGATTGAACCAGAACAAGTGGTGTGACAGAACAGTGTTGGTAGCCCTGGACCTATCAAAGTCATTTGATATGGTCAATCATGCCATACTGTTTGAGGACGTGCAGAGAACTACTCTCCGGCCAAGTTTGAAATGTTGGATAATAAACTATATGTGTCCAAAGCCCGTAGAGTGATACTGGGAGTACCCCAAGGTGGGGTGATATCTCCGGAGCTGTTCAACCCATACCTTTCCGGAAATCCTCGCCCTCTAGACGACATAGATATCGTAACGTTTGCGGATCGTAACGTATGACCTGGTGACCAGATTAACAGAATACAAACATCTATATGTACTACTGCTACAACATCAAGAACAAAACAATGTTTGCAAAAACAATCAGATGTACTACAATTTTACAACGATCAAGTGCAATTTATCCTCAAAGATGGCATCCCGTTTTTGATTATGATGAAATAAGTAACATGAAAGAATCAACCCTGACAAGTCTTTTACAAGCCAACAATTACTTTCAACGGTTACAAACCAAACTAATTTGCTAATCCCCTGGATTGAAGTCGTCCACTTTACCACCAAATAATGTTTGCAATAAAAATCAGAAAAGGTGTTTTTTGAAGACTTTTGTCACAGCGCAATCAATGAATTAACACATTAAAATCTGATTTTGATGTTCTAAACAAATATTCAGTGTTCTATAGAATAAAGGTAGGCGAGGGTTTAGAGGGGTATAATCCATGGTAGAATTACAAGGTAACCCTTTCAGGCCAGCTGGTATCAATTTGATATGTCAAAAAATTGTTGTAATTTGAATTCGCCTTCATTTACACATAAGAAAATTGTTGCATGATTTCAAACTTTAACAATGCTATTGATAGAAAATCGAGATTTTACGTTTTTATAGAGTATGAGGGAAAAAGTGCATAATCAACATATTGTAGGCATAGGTAATATGGAGATCTAAAATTCGTGGATATTTGAAATAAGTGAAACAGGGAATCAATTTAATATATAAGATAAACCGATACATGGAATTTCATTATCTTATTTGTACGGATTTTCAACTATGTTATACACTATAGGGCTTCAACAGTGAAAGGTGAATGATTTCAAAGCATATTGGATTGGTTTGGGGAACAAAACATTGGCAATTTTTGGGGTGTGATTAAATATTGAGATAATTTTTTTTTTTTCAAATTGTTCGAATGTAATAAAGTTATCTATACATAAAAAACTTCCTGTCTGCTATACATTTCATAGCTAAGAAAATAATAATATGCGTGGACTCACAGTAGACTCAGCCCCCTGTATCTTCTACAATCTTTGATCCAAATCTTAAGTAAGCCTGAGGAGTAAATATAACCTAAAGTACCTTTTAGGTAGCATGTCACTACAGCGAGAAAGCTGACGATGTAGCAAAAGAAAAAAGGCTACACCCCAGAACCAAAACAAAACCTAATTTTAAAGCATCAAAACTAATTTTCCGGATATTTTCTTGTAAAGAACATTATGGCTGTTGAATATGAAATCAAAGTTGCCAACGTTACCAAGACTGCAGGCTGTGTAAGCATGATGAAGAGATAACAACGATTGGACATCTATTATCGCAAATGTCCTTCGTTGGCGCGCTGGAAACTATGTATTAGGGGCGATCACTCCATTTCCAGTCTATGTGATTTTCAAAAATGTTGTATTGAACGTGCTACAATCAAACCAATATGCAGCGGCTTCAGCATTACTTTCAATCGATGTTGGAAGTTTTGAATAATTGCTTTTGTAATAGAAAAAACAACAATTTTGAAAAATTTTAATTCAATATTCTGATTGGAAAAACAATTTGCCCCAAATTTTGTACTTCAAATCAATTCGCCCTGACTACAACTTTGACATATCAAGTTTCCAAAAAAGTTGCTTTGTTGTAATTTTCGCCTATGTTGCTACCTGGTATTTCTACCATGGTATAATCTCAGTTGACATTAAAAATAAAATTCTATAAATACCGAACCAAATTTCAGTTCAAATTTTGGGATTGCAATGTTTTTATTTTGTATCTCTATATATTACATTCTCTTTTATTATATTTTCTTTTTTATAATGTAAATATATATGAAAACATGCTTTTGTTAAGAGAAGGACGCGAAGCCCCTACACCGACTGAAGTTAGGAAACTGTTTCACCTCTACCAATCTGACATTCCACGACCACCAGATGGCATAAAAATTAGAATGTACGCAGATGATTGTACGCCCATGGAGTCAGGATCCATTATTTATAAAATTTGTGACCTGCTAAACCCCTACTTAGTTGTTTTAATCGGCTCTTTCACTGCGAAGAATATGAAAATATCCTTCACGAAATCGACGTCTCCACAACAAACTCCGCCAGAGCCGGAATCGAGACCAACCCGGACAATTGTTCTGCTCTGTTTGCTATAATCGCCATAGATCGGTCTTTGTGAGATGCAACGAATGTATGGAGTGGGTGCACTTCCAGAATTGTTCCGGCTTAAATCGGATTCAGGAGTATAGCTATAAGGACTACAATGCTTATTGATGCGCCAATTTAGACCCCAGTGAGTCATAATCTTTGTCGTCGCAGTATGATGCTCCCCCGGACAGCCACGCATAGCTTTTCAAGTTCCGGATAACGCATAAGATCAAGGCGATTCAGGAAACGAGACTGAGAACGACCTACAATCTCCAAAGTTATGATGGACACAACATATTGAGGAAGGATCCCACCAGCGGTGGGGGGTTATTGTTCCCATCGCACAATTGTATTGCATAGGATAGTGGTCATAGCTGTGCTCCGCTTTTTTGCCCAATTTCAGTACACTTCTAGTAGGCATTCCGTCAAAGCGACGCCAGAGCTTCATAGCGCTGGCTGAGAAAATTGATAGATCCACGTTTTACACAATGGTTTAGGACACAAGCACAAAAATTACGTAGCATGGCCATCATTTCTTTAGGCTTACACTACCACCCCATTATTGTCGCCATCGACAGACCACCCGGCTTCATAGACTCTGAACACCGCACTTTCCATAACCATGGGTAAACCAATTGGCAAGAATTCAGAGCAATTACTTTCAACGGCAACCAACAAAATGCATTTGCTAATCCCACAGATTGTAACCGCCCTACTTACCACCAAATAATGTTTACAATGACAATCAGATGTACTACAATCTAACCACGGTCAAGTAAAATTTATCGCCACGCATTATCCGTCCACCACCATAAACAACTGGTGTTTAAAATCTTATGTCTCTCCCAATGGATTGATTATCTAAGAGTTTATATGCAGCATTAAGACTTCTAACAGAGATGGTATTGGCGGTCCCATAAACAAGTCAAATCCATCACTTGGGAGTCATTTTCTGACACCATTCGTAACCAATACAAATCATTTAAGTCAACCTATGATTTAAGGAAAAAGATGAGGAGCCAAAAGTAAAAGTCCGGTGAATATTTCTATTCATTTTTATACCCTCCACCTTGAAAAGGGGGGTATATTAACTCTGTCATTCCATAAAGTATATATATTCATAATCGGCATACAATTCTAAGTCGATTTAACGATGTCCGTCTGTGTGTTGAACTCACGATACAGCCCGCATTATTTGACTTAGAGCTTCAAAATTCGCCAGAACAATTTGTATTGTTTCTACGATCGTTGGTATTGAAATGAGCTATATTGGTCTACGTTTTGGTACAGTCGTCATATAACTGTACCTCCCGATATTCGGTATTTTGAGGATTTTCACCACATTTATTTATACATTATACAAACGGTCTTACTTATATTTGATGTATAAAATGACACACTTTTGAATTCAGAAAGTTTTATATAAAAATGTTTTCTTTACCCAATGTTGGAGGGTATGATAAGTTCATTATCGAAATGCGCAACATGTGATCGTTTATGCGACTTTAACAAGGTTCGCACGTCAAATCCTGCTGCAGAAACACCCAGAAGAAGGTTGACAGGATGGTACAATAAACGGAGTAATACTAGAAATGTGTTTCAAGATTCTCTATTCCGCCAAACGACTTATTGCAAACTACAAATAGCAACAACATTTTTGATTTTGATGCATCTCGGTCATTGAATTCTTCAAACAGGGGATGTAAATAACATTGATTACAATAAAATAAGTAACATGAAAGAAACAACGCAGATAAAACTTCTGCGAGCTAGCAGTTGCTTTCAACGGCAGTCAAATACTAATAATCAACAAAGATTACTGATTACTGCTTTGACCGCTTTTTCATATAACGAAGTTGAAAGACTTTAAATTAAAAAGGAATCCTGATCAATTTGGATCTGAACATCATGCACGATTTTTAGAAAGTTGGAACCAGGCATTTAAGCAGTTAGAGCTGAAAATCTAAAAATATACGAACATTGTAACAGTGTAAACACGAATTATTGTAACACTGCAAACAAATTTTAATACACGTTACCACTAGTTGTTCATTTTGCGTCAATTGAAAGCACACGGAGTTGTAACTAGCTTGCAAGTAATTGTTATTTTTCAGTTGTATTAAAAACAGCACACTATTTTAAATGAACGTTTACTCGACAATTAAAAAAGAACTAAAGAAAGATATTATTTTCTAGGTAGCAGTATCTTGTCTGCCTTAGACAAAAGTTCACTGAACAGGACATAATCTTGTTAAATTTAGCTTCAATCCAAACAGAAAGGACATGGACAACTTTTCCACATACCATCTAATACACTAATTGATAATCACCTTTAATTTTCTGCCCGTTGAGGTTTCACTTCTTCAATTGTTTTTGGTGCTTCACTAATTGTTATTGGCGGTTTGTTTCTCCAAATATCCTCTGTGTGAATGACACTGGTCGAAGGCTCCCCATATTCAAATTTCCCTTTTCATCGCAAATACAAATGACACCTTGAACATATCAGGGTCTAAAACATTTTCACATAGAAATTGTTTGGATTGTTTTTTTTCATATGAAACATGATCTCTGGGGCAAGCATCTTTTTAGCAGCAATTATGTCGTGATACCATGTGTACAGATTTTGAGCCCTTTTGAATTACATGCAATCTAAGCTGAATGTTGCATCTTTTTAAATCCAAACGTGCTAACGATTCATCATTTGAAAGCTGGTTTTCATCGTTTGGAATAGGAACATATTTTACAATCTGTTTTGTTCAAGCTAGACCATTGTTCAATAACTTTTGACCGATGTGGGCTTTAGTTCGCTGTCGTTTTGAACTCACTTGATGTAAAAAGCTCTCGGCAACGATATCACATCCAAGTTCGTCATTGATATCTTTACATTTTCGGGTTTAGTTCTATCGCTGCGGGAGTCGACTGATTTTGATGGTCTGCAAGAATTCGGTTGGTATTAGTTAATAGCTGGATACTGAATTCACCATTTAACAAGTTCCCGTATTTACTTTGTATTACCTTTGAGTGAATTTCTCCACCTTCAAAGGTTATACAGATTATTTCCACCTGATTATTTTTTTCTTAATGAGCCATACAGGAGCATTGTAAATATTAGGACGCCACGGCATTTTTACCTTTTAGAAAGAAAAGTAAAAGCTGTAGGTAAAAAATAGGAGCCAAAAATAAATACAAAATAATGTTGATGTATAATGAATTTAAAATGTAGTTACTTTTGGACATTCCTAACTTTAGGACATATACGACATCGCTGTATGCGCATGCTGACAAAACAGTAAGTGAAAACACAACGAAGTTTAATGTTGTACTTTTTTTTTAAAAGTACCACAAAGTCAAGTATAACATGTAGGAACAAAGCAAATAAATAAAAAAAGATTGCGCAAGCATATTAATGAAGCTGAGAAAAGCTAGAGCACTTACAATCAGCGAGCAGAAACCCGAACATTAACTATTGGGCAAATTGTATTAAGCGATACCTTTCTGAAAGCCACTTTTGTCAAGGCATTTTTCAAATGATACTTCATGTAACCTCTAGGACTGTATCAAATTTAAAATTCTATCGTAATTTTTATATTTTGAGTATAGAGCAAAATATTTGAGGTCCCTTGTGTATGGTTAAGCTATATAAAAAGGACCCTATAAATGTTTTTCCCGAAAATCCCCTTTTTGGATTTTTATCTACCAACCGGACAATTTCCCAAGTGTAGTTTCCCGTAGTGTAATTACTGACGATAACGCATTGTTCCCGTATAACGTTGCATGTGAGTTAAGGGTACTTTTAAGGGCACGGAAGAATTTTCCGAGGATCCTTACTAAATTTTCAATTCGCTCCACTATTTTGTATGGTCCGCACATTACAGTACCTCTTCATATTTAGCATTTTGAGTTCTAATTGGAAGGATTATTTCCATATCTAGTCAAAGGGAACCCGTAAAGTATGTTAAAGAGTAGAAATCTTTGTTGATTTCATTATGTCCGTCATTTCATGTCGTCATTCCGTTTGTAACTCATCGAAATAATCATTTTAGACCCAACAAAGTATATATATTCAGATTTGAAAGATGTTTGAGAGAACCATTCTTTTCGGCAACCAATTTCTGTTCAGCTAACAATTTCCTTTCAACAAGCTGCTGGTACAGCGAGACAAAGGGGTAGAAAAATTAGATTTCTTCCTTAGAGTATCTATCGTTGCTTAGGACTGGACATTGGCATTTAAATTCAAATACTTATGTTCAGACATTTTAGAATAAACGGAATATAATTTTGAAGCCTACTGTAGGTGTCAGGCGAATTTAAAATATGCTGACAGAAATAAACGGTTAATTAATGTAGTTAAAATCATGAAAATACCGTATATAGGGAGGTACCGTTCTATCGGAACGATACGAAGACCTGGACCTGCATAGACATCCATTACGAACTTCAAATACGGTGAGTATTGTACCTTAAATCGTTAAAATACCGTACACGGCCCATTTACGAACTTAACCTACTACTGGCAAAATAAACATGTTAGCCTTCCATCTTAAATCGTTCGAAAGATAGCGTGATTACAGCAGGCAGACAGACGGACAGACGTACAACGCTAAATCAACTTAGAATTTTACGCTGATCAAGAATATATGTACTTTGTTGGGGCTGACATGAGTATTTCGAGGAGTTACAAACGGAATCACAGAGTTAATATACCCTCCATAGTATGATGTAGGAATAAAATGTTCTACTGAAAAGTTTTAATAATTTCATTTAGGGAAAAATGTAATACAAAATTGTTGTGTAAATAATTTAAAGCTGCATTTAAGACTAGGATACTGATCATTGTTTGCCGTTGAGAGTCCAAAAAAATTCGTGATTCGTGACTTTACAAAGAACTCATTCCAATATTCCAGCATGAACAAACAGGAACATTAAGTTTATTCACATATGTTTAAGTACAAACATTGCTGTTGAAAATCAGATATCACTGCATATAGCTCAGTGCACATTTAGTTGAGCTCTGTGATTGCAACAACAACAAACCCTTAAGCCAGAGCCTAAGCTGAAGTTGCAACTGTGGTCATATTCTGTGAAGCAAAGGTAGAGAATACTGGAGAGATGAATTATCTTACTGATAACTTCATAATCTTAACTTCTCTCAATGCAGATATTTTTATACCCTCCACCATACATGGTATGGAGGGTATATTATGTTCGTCATTCCCTTTGTAACTCATCGAAATAATCATTTTAGACCCAACAAAGTATATATATTCTTGATCAGCGTAAAATTCTAATACGATAAGGCCCTGTCCGCCCGTCCGACCGTCTGTTGTAATCACGCTACAGGCTAAACGAATTAGGATAGAGAGCTTAAATTTGGCCCGGATCTCTCTTTCATCTGCAGGCAGGTCAAGTTCGAAGATGGGCTATGTAGGTCCACGATATCGTATAGCCCCCATATAACGGTACCCCCCTATATTCTGTATTTTTATGATTTTAGCCACATTTACTAATATGATAGTCTGAAAATCCACACGAGGAGTTTCTTGTGGGCATATTACCCCCTGAAAGAGAATTGTCTATATAGGTCCACGATATCGTCTAGCCCCCATATAACGGTACCCTCCGATATTCGGCATTTTGATGATTTTAGCCACATTTTCTTATGGAATGGTCTAAAAATGCACACAAGAAGTTCCTTATGAGTACTTTATCCCTTGAAAGAGAATTATCTATATAGGTCCACGTTTTTCAACGGAATTGTCTGAAAATCCATACAAGGAGTACCTTTTGGGTACTTTATACCTCGGAAGAGAATTATCTATATAGCTCCACGATATCGTATATCCCCCATATAACGGTAACCCCGATATTCCGTATTTTGATGATTTTACCCACATTTTGGAACGGAATTGTCTGATAGTCAACACAAGGAGTACTTTGTTGGTACTTTACATCTCGGAAGAGAATTATCTATATAGGTCCACGATATTGTATAACCCCCATATAACGGTACCCCCCGATATTAGGTATTTTGATGATTTTACCCACATTTTTCAACGGAATTGTCTGATAATCCACACAAGGAGTACTTTGTGGTTACTTTATACCTCGGAAGAGAATTATCTATATAGGTCCACGATATCGTATAGCCCCCATATAACGGTACCCTCCGATATTCGGTATTTTGATGATTTTAGTTACCTTTTTCAACTGAATTGTCTGAAATTGTACACAAGAGGTTCTTTGTGAGCACTTTACCCCCTGACAGAGAGGTTAACGATATCGTATATCCCCCATAAAACGGTACCTCCGATATTCGGTATTTTGATGATTTTAGCCATATTTTCCTATGGTATTGTCTGATAATCCACAAAAGGAGTTCTTTGTGAGCACTTTAACCCCTGAAAGGTAATTGTCTATATAGGTCCACAATATCGTATATCCCCCCATATATCGGTATTAGATATTTTAAAGATTTCTAATTTCGAATTTGTTCCAAATGGTGGAGGGTATTCAAAGTTCGTTCCGGCAGAACTTACGGTTTTTTACTTGTTATAGATAATGTAGAATTACACGTATGGAGATGTAGAACTAGTTATTTTGTGTAAATATCGGTTGGGTGATGAAACTTATACGCAATTAGGCTATTGTGATTTTTGATGTGGTACTTCTTTATCTTGTGCTCTTTGATTTCCTGGAAGAAGGCAAATTGTATTTATTGGTCTCTTGATAATTTTGTTTATATTCAGAACTGATACAACCCGAATAAGCCCCCGCCTAGAATGTGTTTCTTGTGTTCTGCCTACCAGCCATGGCAGCCCTCAAAGAAGCTGTGAATGTGGATCCACCATCTTGGCAAAAAGCCACACAAATTTGGGTTCAAATAGATGCTGTGGAAGCTCAGATGAGATGTAAAAGTTCACAAAACAACCGCGTTGAAAAATAAAATGACATAAATAATTTTTTTCCAAATTTCTTTTTATTTTATTTGGTATGCAAACATTAGTCCTTTTTAAGAAGTAGAAGAATACAACAGATGAAATATCACAGGAATAATTACAAAAAGCAAAACATAACATTTGCACAAGAAATACAAATAATGTAAAATTTAATTATAATAATATTTTTTAAAATTTTTTTTCACATACAAAGCACAATAAAATATTTAAATTTCACATTTTTAATAATTTTCAAACAACACAAGATCACACCACGAATTTACAAAATGTCGATCAAAACAAAATGAAATGATGATTAGTGTTAACTTATTGATAAATAATTAGTTTAAAAGTAATTGATAACCATCATTGTAAAATTGCTACTTTTGCAACCCTGGGGCTGGATTCTTGTTCTATGAAAATATGAAATGAAAAATATTTCCTTTATAAAATTTTTCATTTGACGTTTCTTTCCTTTATAAAAGTTTTCATTTCACATTTTCATAGAACAAGAATTGAGCCACTGTACTCATTAGTTCAATATTAATTTGAATTTTAAATTTGAAATTTTTTTAAGGGTCGTTTACACTGTTCAATTTATTTTAATTACTAATATTAGTTGTAGAATAATATAAATGATAGAAGCATGCATTAATGAATTAGAAAAATTAAAATTGAATTTAAAGAAAAGTAAAAATAAGATTTTTACAAAAAAATATGTTGAAGAAAAAATAGGAAGATTAGAAGAATTGGTCAATGTGGTGAATGATTACCAATGTGAAGATGAGAATGATTATGTTTTAAAAGCGAGGTTTAATGAATTGAAAATAGAAATTTCGGTTTTAATTGATGAATTGAATATAAAAGAAGAAATAGTAAATAATAACGTAAATATGGCACAATTCGACATGTCAATGGTTAGCAAAAATTTGCGTGTGTTTAAAGGCGATTTCAAATATTTAGAAGACTTTATTTCTCAAGCAGAATTGCTGCATGATTTGCTACAAGAACAAGATAAAGAATTATTCATTAAGTACATCTTTAATTTCAAGTTATCAACCCAAGTAAGGAGTATTTTAGGTCGTTTAAACAAGCCAACGACATTTGTACAATTAAAAAAGGCACTGGAAGATGCTTATCCAAAAACAAGAACGCTACAACAGCTATTAACTGAATTAGGAACACCCATTTAACAATGACCTCATTTAGGGAAAAGATATCTGAACTTTGTGATGTGTTGAATCGTTTTGAAATACGAAATTTAAAGAACCCGTCCCAAGAGACTAGGGATGCGATATACAAAGTTAATGAGAGTGTGGTATTAAATGTTTTTATGAAAGTGGTTAACGCTGAATATCAGCCAATTTTATTGGCTAATATGACTACAAGTTTAAATGAGGCGACCCAAAGACGTATTACAGCTGAGAGAAGTTTAGGTGTGGATACAAAGGATGCATTCTTTGTAAGTAGAACAAATAGATCAAACGAACAGAAACAATTACAATACACGATATAATATCGGTAATCGATGCAGTAATAATTATGGCAACAATAACATGAATAGTGGATATCCAGGAGACCGAAAAAAATTCAGTAATGGTCACATAATAATCGCAATAACTATCAAGGAAACAACAATAAGAATGCAGAATATAAAAATATACACGGCAATGTGAAATACAATAAGGATAAAAATGGCAGAATCAAGCATACGGAAGTCAGAAATTTTATGGTTTTTCCATGTACATGTCAACAGGGAAACTCATACGGCCGGATGATGGAAGAATTCATCCAGGAGGCCAAAAATTAGGTATATTTAATGTAACTTTGATGACAAACGCTTTTATTTCGTTGAATTCTAGGACGTTCTTAATAGATACCGCAGCTAATATCTCCATATGCAAACACACATTTTCATCCGTGAACAAAACAAATACTGCAAGATTAACTGGGATAGCTAAAGAAGCTATTCAATGTATTGGGACTTCAGAACTCATGTTAGAAATTGAAACATTGTGTCATGATTTTTATGTAGTCGCAGATGATTTTCCCATACATACAGATGGAATTATTGATCGAGATATTTTAGCAAAATAGTACAGCAAATAGACTTTGAAACATAGCATTTAATATTAATAATAGAGAGATTGTAGTGCCAATGAATGCAAGGCCGGTTCAGAATAAGCAGTTGTTAGTACCTGCAAGATCGGAAATGATATTACCGCTTGATATGAAAGGAGATGAGGATAGCATAATACTTAATAAGGAGTCTTTCTAGCGAGTTGTTTAGTTCCTGCTAATGGTAAAGTGCATGTTAAGGTGTTGAATACTACTGATGAAGACGTAAAGTTAAAAGAACTGAATTGCCAATTCAACTCATTAAAAAATTACCATATATAAAGCTACAAAAGAAAATAATGTAATCGAACAATCTGTTAGTCCATATAATTCACCACTTTTAGTTGTACCAAAAAGTCAATTGATGATAAGAATAAATGGCGATTAGCTGAATAACAAAATTGTGAATGATAAGTTTCCGTTAACAAGAATTGAAAATGTATTAGATCGACTAGGAAGAGCAAAGTATTTTTCCACATTGGACATGACGAGTTCTTTCCATCAGATTAATTTACACACGGATTCGCAAATGGTCACTATCAATTTAAACGTTTGCCTTTTTTTTTTTTTTTTTTTTTTTTTTTTTTGAAGATATCTTCAAACAGTTTTCAGAGAATGCTTACAATAGCTCTCAGTGGTTTGGACGCATCTGCATTTTTATATGTGGACGACATAATCGTTTTTGGCTCTGGACTGAGAGATCACAATGACAATTTGTGCAACGTTTTTAAAAGATTACGAAAATTTAACTTAAAGTTAAATGCTATGAAGTGCAGTTTTCTACAACCTGAAGTGATATATTTGGAACATCTCATAACCGATAGAGGTGTAAGAACTGATCCTGTACCTACAAACGCAGATGAAGTGAGGAGATATGTAGCATTTTGCAATTATTATCGTCGATTTATACCTAATTTTGCTGACAAAGCAAGGAGTTGGAATGCACTTCTGAAAAAGAACAAAAAATTTGAATGGAGACCTGAGTGCCAAAAAGGTTTTGAAACCTTAAAAAATTGTTTACTGAACCCGTCAATATTACAATATCCAGATTTTTCTAAGCCTTTCGTGCTAACAACGGTCGCATCTAATTATGCGTTGGGAGCAGTGTTATCCCAAGGAGAAATAGGAAACGACTTACCAATTTCCTACGCCAGCGCTACACTCTCGACACACGATTTGAAGAAACAAGTTATCGAAAAAGAATTACTCGCTATACACTGGGGAATTAATTTCTATACACCATATTTATATGGAAGAAAGTTTATTGTGTAACTGACCACAGACCGTTAGTATCACTTTTTCACATCGGAATCCATCCTCAAAGATGACAAGGATTCGCATGGATCTTAGTGATTACGATTTTGAGATCGCTTATAAAAAAGGGAAGATGAACACAAATGCTGACGCATTGTCCAGAATAAAATTTAACAGCGATTCTTTAAAGGCTTTATTTCCCATGACACCCGAACGTGACCATAAAATTCTTGTTATTACCAGGAGCAAACAAAAACTTTTAAGCAACAAAAACTCAAACAATAAAAATATAGATGACGACAGCCCTCATCCAAAGCCTGATAAATTTTTGATTTGGGAATGTACATCACTCACAGATATAAAGAATGTAAGGAAACTTAAGTTTACACTACTCAAAGAAAAGAAGAAACCAACCATTGAGATTGGAAAAGACATAATAACTGTTATGTACAGCGATAATCCAATGAACATAGATTTGTCTTTGGAGAAACTGTTAACAAAAACAAATAAAAAAGGAATAAAACAATGAACAAAAATGATGAAATATTCAAATCCATGGCCATGGAAGAATTCAAAACATTACTGAACAAAATACAGAAAGAACGAAACACAAATGTACAAATAATTATATACTGAGGTCTTCAAAGGATTAACTGCAAAAATACACAATTAAAATTAATATCAGAGTATCATGATTCAATGCATAGAGGACATTTAGGTGTCAGAAAGACAACTTTAAAACTCAAGCAGCGTTACATTTGGGAAAATATGCCGAAAATGATAAAAGGATATGTTTTAAACTTTCCAAAATGTAGAATCAATAAACAAACTATACACACAAAAGAAACAATGATATTAAATGATACACCAGGAACTAGTTTTGAGGTAGTATCAATAGATATAGTAGGTCCACTGAGAATATCAAATGGTTACAGATACATTCTAACAATACAATGTGATTTAACCAAATACTTAGTAGCATGTCTTATGGAAACAAAAGATGCAAGGACTGTAGCAAAGACTCTTGTAGAGAGGTTTATTTTTATTTATGGAAATTTTAAAATACTAAAGTCTGATAATGGTACAGAGTTCTCTAATCAGTTAATGTCTGAGGTACGTCGGTTATTGAAAAAAAAAAAAAAAAACAAATATTTAGCACTCCTTATCATCATGAAACATTGGGTTCGGTAGAAAGAACTCATAGGGTTCTTAATGAATTTCTACTAAATTTTTCAAATAGTGAAGACTGGGACATTTCGATTCCATATTTTGCCTTTGCATACAACCACATGTTGATACTAACTATTCTCCTTATGAGTTAGTTTTTGGAGAACTGCCACATTTACCCAATGATGAAATTATAAAAGAATCGAAATTTTACAATATTGAAGAATATTCAAATGAAATTAAGCAAATACTTAGGGTTTCTCTCTGTAAATATAAGGAATATTTGGAAAAATATAAAATTAAAGAAATTCTAAAACCGAAACTACTAATCCACTAAAAGTAAATAAAGATGATTAAGTTTTATTAAGATTAATGAATAGAAAAAAAATCAATCACCGTATTTAGGCCCATATGAAGTTATTAGTACTGATGGAGTCAATACTGTAATATATATATAAATGGTAAATTCAAGAAATACCACAATATTGTTTTAAGAAAATGGAGCTATAGTTATTTAATATATATTCAAAAGAATAATGCAAAAGCAAATATTATTTTTTTTAGGGTAAGGGTATAATGTGACGATAAGTTAATGCATGCGAACTACCCTTGTATTGATCACCTAGAACCAGGCTATGTAGATCAGGTGATTAACAGCTGTAGTTTTAAGGATTGTTATTTTTAAGGATATATTAACAAAACAAAATCTAGGATTAAGTACCGTTAAGTTTTATATATAAGGACGATGAAATTGAAAATAAAGTTCAGAAGTTAGAGAGAGCCTAATCCGGCTTTAAAACTTCAGTGAAATTAAAAAATCAGAAAGCTCTTTTTATTGAGCTGGAAATCGATGGCAACTTGTTGTGCCTTCGAAGAATTTAAAAACATATTTTTCTGCCAAGTGGCGTTTGTAAGCGCCGGCAAACAAATTGAGGCAGGTCCTAATTTTCCACCAACACACACTTACA